CAGCAAGTGCATGATCAGCTCTTACAAATGCATTCCTTATAGCCTTCTCAACACAAGTTGGGAAATGAGCATCGTTAAGTATAAACTTGAGAATATTCTTCTGAACAAATGATGCTGCATCTGTACCCCCATGGCCATCAAATACCTGCCAAAATGAAGTAATGCATTTTAGCATATATCCAATATTGTACTGCAAACTAAATTATAGGCACTCCTCAACTAGAAACTTTATTAATGGTGACAACTATACATGTCAATAATGTGTATCTATTAAGAAACTAAACTTGCCAGAATATGAAGGTATCTCTAACACTAACACTAAGTCATATTAAATCACATGATTGGCTATAAATAACGACATTCAATCAGTAAGACCATAAGAAGGACTCTAGGTGAGAGATAACGAACCCCATAAAAAGCCCCCGGTGCTGGGAAGCCTTTTGATGCTGCAAGATGCTCGACAAGGTTATCAATACAAACATGTTCATCTTCCATATAGGATTTCGGCCCAATCTCAGACCAGCTTCCTGATCGGAAAACAGGTAAAAACCCGGACTTCCCATCTATAGGAGATGTCGAGCCCGGAGATCCAAGTTCCGATTCCTATCAAAAGAAACAGTAAGTCCATGATGTGAATCAAATCAAACACGCCCACGATTCACAAATCACGCAGAATAAACAAATGAACAATAACATACAAATTCAGGTGATTCAGCCAAGCGAGCAGAGCTAGCGCAATGCCTAATGACCGAGAGATGACGAGGGGGCTTCCCAAGTTTCATCTGTTTCATATCCTCCGGGGACTCCGGATCTTCACCCAAAGGAGACCTATCATTGTTGGATGCGTACCTGCTTTCTAACATGGAGAAAGGACGTGAACAATTAACCTCAGTGGCCATTTCTCCCCTTCTCAAACCAATAACAACAACCACCCCAAAACCTAACCTTATCTTTGTCTCTCCAATTCACATCAACAATCAAATCAACCTAAACTTCTACAAATTTATAACAATTGGGCTCTAAAATTCTCCAAAAATGGGTAGATACATACTAATTCCGACACCTAACTACCTAATTCATCAAAGATTCTACCGAAAAATTCAATAAAAGACACTAAAGAATAAATCTTTATAAGGTATCCTTCGAATTCTACGAGATCTAAGGAAAACGACACAACAGATCAAAATTCCCCCATTGTCAGAAAAAGGATAATTAATTTAACTCCTACTTAATAGTAAAAAATAGAAAATAAAAATAAAAATTCAAGTATATATAAAGGAATTATAAGATCAGAATTTACCTCTTTTAATTTAACTTAATTTGCCTTTTTTTTCTGTTGAGTTTAATCTGAGAGGACGGGAAAATCCCCAACAGGATCGGGAGAAAGAAAAGCCACAGCTTTCGAGAGAGAGAGAGAGAGGGAGCAAGATTTTATAGGGGTCCTTTTGGGTGACCGGTGATATCAGGTCAACCGGTAGCATTTGCTGTGGGCGACGTGTCTAGTTTTGGGAGGGTGGTTGAGAGTTTGACCTCGACAGGGATCGTGCTCCGGGCGGCAATGCGGCTGGAGATGGATGACCGCTGGATCTACAGTTCGGTAATTTTGAACGGTTAAGCTCTTTTTTGAAAATATCGCGAGTTGAGCTCCAAGGACTTTGGTGAGGGAGAAAAGTAGTGGACACGTTTCGCGAGCTGATTGGTTTCGACTTTCGAGAGTGAGCTCGCTGTAGCGTAGGATAGGAATTAGGGTTAATTGCAAGCAGTCCCCTACAGTATCAACCAGTTGCCCACAAACCCTCTGTAGTTCTATTTGTGACGAATAGGCCCCGGCCCCAATTGTATCCACCCCAGGATTTAGTCTCACATCAATGGGTGAGAGAGAACTTGATGAGTATATATAGTGAAGTCTAAGGCTCAAATGTAGCATCGGCTAGCCGATCTTTGACAGTGGTTTGAACAAAACATCATGTTACATTTAGTGGACCCCACAACTTACACAGCACCAATGGTCTCCCGGGCCTAGCGCATGCTTAGTGGGTCCCATAGCTTACACTGCACTAATGGTCTCACAGGCCTAGGGCGCGATAAATGATATGAGAGTGCACATGCGACTAAGTCCTACATAGGAATTATCAACCATTAAGAACAGTTTATGTTGTAGATTAAAAAGACTGATTGATTACCAGCTCGAGCATTTTGAATATTAACGTGACAATCTAAATTCAGGTGACAGATCAAAATTCAGCAAGTAAAACTAAACCATGAGCAAGGGATCATAAATATCACATTGTCTGCACTCTCTGGTTGCATCTCAATTTCAAATCAGTAACTCTTCGTCCATATTGCTTGCCGTGATAAGCTAAGTAATCAGTTTCAATGCGACATGCTAACAAGAGAACCATGCAGGGCATTTACCAAATGGAAAGATCAAATACTGGCTCTGTATATAAAATAAAAAGCTCAAGTCATCCAGATACACAAACCAGTCCCAAAAGCGTACCATTTACATAATATACATAAAGTTACATGTCATTTATGAAAATACAATGTTAGAAGTTCAGTAAAGTACACAAGTTACATATGTACATTAATAATCACAATCACTGAATAAATAGTGTAAATTGCGTTATTTGAACAAAACCTTACATCAGATATTATAGATCGACAATAAGGTATTCACCAAATTAAATTAAGTTACTCGGAAAGTATTTGCTGAAAGAGTCTTCTTCTCTACAGTATCTGTGCACTACTTTGTAAACTTCGATCAGGAGCTTTGGAAATCTACTTGAGAAATAACTATCGAACCCTTCTGGTACTGGTCCAAGAATTGCCTGTCAAGGTAGCAAGATAATTTAGGTCATGAATTCAAATAAAGCATCAAGGAAAGAACAAAATGAACTGCAGGATTTCTAGGGTAGTTTGTTACCATGCACAACCACATGAAATTTCAACCTATTTCTGTAACAGCTTATGGCACCAAGTATTATTAATACAAGGACATACCATGGAGATGAGTTTCCTTTAACCGTTTCTCCCAAACTAATGCAAAGTTTTACCCAAATTCTAGCTAGTGATTGTTTATTTGTTTTAGTAGAATAGGTGGTTCCAGTTTCACACGGACTCCAAAACTCACTAACAGGATAAGGTGACAATTTCTCTCCTTTTCTCACATGACGCACTTTGGCGACAGATAAGCTAAGGACATATTGAACTTAACTTAGGAGCTAGGTTGAAGTATTTTCTTGTGATTTTCTCCATCGCTAGAATAGATGCGATTAGATGCACAAAGTCATAGTATAACACATATTAATAAAAGAATAATTTTAGTCTGTTGCCAGATTTAAATGTTTTGCTCTCTGCATGGTTGGTTTTACTGGTTCAGATTTGCTTTATCATTTAATTTTTCTTCCCACCATTTAAATAATATGAGAAAGTTGAGAGATCTGGATTGATTGGACGTTATTTAGGCAGCTGAAATTTGAGTCAATGGTCTTTATTAATTAGTTGGATAAGAGATTTGAGCTCCAATAAAGAAATTTGCTCAATCATTGTTTCTGGCCTCAGAGGTATATTAAGTTCAATGAATTATTTGATTTTAATTTCCTTTCTCTGAGGTGTTGATTCCTAGATAGTAGCTTGCAAAAAGAAAAGACAGTTCTTTTTTGGGTATCTATGTGTGTGGGCTGGGGTTGCTGTTGGGTTTCCCCCCTTTTCTCTATTCACCCCCCCCCTTTCTTTTTGCAGTTTTGTAAGGTGGGTGGTGTTTCCTTTCTTCCGGAGTCGGGGGGGGGGTGGGGTTATAACAGAAACTTTTATCAACTCGTTAATTGGCACCTTAGTGCGTATGAAATGAAGGATGGGCTGATTACTGACAGTTAGAGGGACGACGGGAGACATTAGGAATTCTTATCTTTTTCTTTCTTTTTCCGTTTTTTCTTTCTCGTTTTTTTTTTCCGCCCTTCTTGTGGGAGAGTGGTGGGCGGGGGGGGGGCATCTTAGTTCACAGTTCGTGACGATGAAGGATCCTGGTTCCTGACAATGAAGGAGAACTAGGAATTCAGGTTTAATGCCAACGTTTAACACATTAACAGCCATCCATCTGAGCATTGTTAACAATGGATGCTCCTTAACATGTTTTTTGATTACCAATGTTCTGGTTTCTAAATCATGGCTAACCATACAATTCTCTATGAATGCTCCCTTAAACTTCACAGGTGTGCTATGGTCGAATGGAACTTTAGTTCTACGTGCTACACCCTTCTCTATCTGACCAGAATCAGTGGCATTACAAGAAAAAAAAATGATGTCGAATAATCAGTAAAAGAAGAGCAAACCCATATAACTTATAAGAATATGGTTAGATGAATCTGACCAGCTTGTTATGCCCTGCGAGTATTAAAATCTTTACTATCAAATAATACAGAATAACATGACAAACCTGAAGCTTTTCTGGCAGTTCCCTGTAATGATTTAACTTGTTCCTTATTACGCGAAGAAGATCACGCGTGCATTCAAATTTATACTTTCTATATCGTCCCATGTCTGTGATGAATGCAACATCTAACTTGTCACCCCATTTCCCACCAAATGCTTCAGATGCAACATTTTCTAATGCTTTCAGGAGTTGAGATCCACCTTCTCTATCTTTTAACTCAACACGGTCACTAGTATCTCTAAGAAATGTTAATCGCATCTCAGAATTCCAGAAGAAAGGGTGATGCAGTACTTCTGCTGCACTTGGCCTGATGCAGATGGAAAAGCACAATAATCATCGAAAGTAAGAAGGAAAAAAAAGGCACGGATGAAACATTCATTGACCATACAAAATCCCCAGATAAATCAAAATGGTTTGCTTGCCTCAGATTTGGATCATGATTTAACAACCGAGACAGAAGATCCCAAGCTTCAGGCATATGGTCCACCAAGAACAGGTCAATTCGGTTGTTGACGATGTTCGAGTCCCGCTCAATATGAGTGCCAAATGGATGTCTGCCTTTTGTAATACAAAAGAATAGAATACATCCTAAACTGAATAAATCTACTGCACGTGTCTGACGCCCACAAAGAAGTTGTTCTGGAGCTTGCCACCCAGAGCTACCGCATCCTACATTACATGGTTACATTCATTAGGATTTTTACTCCAGAACATAAAATAACTGCTTGTAAGCATCAAACGGGACCAACTTCTTAGGGGGCCTCACCCGTTGCATGGTGGGTTAAGGAAGACATATCCTCCAGAAGGCGTTTACTAATACCCATATCAGAAACTTTTGCATTCAGCAACCCATCAGTGCTTATTAAAACATTTTGGGGCTTCATATCCCGATGTATAATTCCAAGTTCATGCAAATGAGCAAGACCAGCTACCACATCCCTACAACAAAAGCAACAGGACACATGAGGACAGCTTCCACATTCACTCAAGTTCAGAAGTCAAAAGCGCTGGAGACAGTAACATCAAAATTGCAAGAACAAAGGATATAAATCAAGACAATATCAACTGATGTATCCCAGATTTTATGGGTCTAGATGGTTAATGGAATGTGTGGCTACAGTTAAAAAGAAATCAGGAGAGCTCTAGATGGTTTCTATAATGGCATACATGTATTACATGAGTAGAAGAATTGGAACGTTAAATGACATGACGCAAGTATTAATCTATGAGCACTCTTAAATCTGCAAAACAAATCAATTTTTAATACATTTTAAAGTAAAATATAACTAATCCATCCATTTATTGAAATCCATCTAAATGATATACATTCCAAGCTTAGAACCTCGAGTAGACTGCATAATGAACGGCAATAGCCACTTCTGCAGACCCGAATCTCTCTTTTCTTTTAAAAACATATCACGTATCTCTTATGTTATTATTAAACTAAAGAGCAAGTATAAATAGACTGTCAAACTGAATTGAAGGACCCTAATTTAAATAAATTAAAACTGAAACCCATCAAATTATGATTGAGTTTTTTTATGTGCAAAAAAAAAAAAAAAAAAAAAAACCCCCAAAAAATGGGGAAAAAACAAAATTTAACTTTGTCCTCAAAATTTGTTTTCTTCAACCCTAAATTTTACCCTCTATATGTATGTATGTATGTATGTATGCATGCATGCATATAGAGGGTAAAATTTAGCGAAGAAGAAAACAAATTTTGAGGATAAAGTTATATAGCTATAAAAAAAATTTGGTTCTTCTTTTTTTATTTTTTGGGTTGGGGCATGTATGCGTGCATGTACATATGTACGTACGTATGTGTGTGTGTGTATTCTTAAACCGATTTAATTATTTCATGGGTTACTAAATTATCTCTTAGTTAATTTTAAAAACAACCCAAACAATCTCTCTTAGTCGACACCACACACCAACTCCACCTGATGCTGGCCATCTCTCCTTCCCCCTCTTTCCCCACTCCATCCCTCCGTGGCACCCATGCCTCCTCTTCTCCCCTACAGCCCAATTATAGCTGTTGTTGTTCTCCTACTCACCCTTATCCCTATGTTTTCCCCAAATTTTCTACTTTTGACCCATTAACTATTGAAATTTCAACAACAGTCAGGTGAAGGGGAAATTTGGTGAAAAGAACCAATTACTGAGACAACTTAGCTATTGCAATGATTTGGTGGGCAAAATTAAAAATACCTATAAATTTGAAGGTTTATATCGAAACAAACCATTATAATTACAGTAATCCATCACATTAGAATTTCAATTTAATCTTAAATCTTAATATGTACTACTATAGAAAGAATAAAGGATATATTCACTGAAAGCATGGAATTTGAATTTTATCACCATGAGATATTCATATGACTATCAATGTGTAGTGATTTTTCACTACTTCTATCATAGTAAACAAAGCACACTGACTATAGATACCTATCAATAAAAATCCACCATCTGCAACCAGTCTTTAAAAGTAAGAAGTCATGTTAGGTTTGAGTCATCCAAAATTAACTTATATAATTTGGGGGAGTAATTTCAATGATTTGGAGTAGAGCTAATGAATTGCATTGCCAGGTGATCATATTATTTTCTTTCTGACTTTCTGTGAGAAACTTTACATTTAAGTATTCACAAGTCTATTAGAATAATGTTTTAAATAATAATGCTACAAATAAAATTTGCACTTTCATCACTGCATAAGTTTTGCACATTTTTTATGATGAAACTGAAGGTCAGATCTCTGAAGTTCTTGTATAGCTACAAATCATCACCATATAAGACCATACATATGCCCAAGGTAAATTGCAATACCTAATTTGCAACAGAACTGGTGTTTTTCAAAACCTGATCCTGCCTACTTTGTTCTCTATAAAGAAAGCATTTCATCTACAAATCCTAATCAAAAGACTTTCATAGCCCTTAAATTATTCACAACCTGGTATAATTATGTCTATCAAATACATGATCCCTTCCAAAGTCAGTAGTAGACATAGGCATGAAAAAGGATGTCATTTGTACTAATACCCTAGTGTGGATGCGGAAGAAAAAAAGGGTTGCTTTTTGAGTTTATTGACTAACCTCATCACTTTTAAGAGCTGAGAAGAAGGAAACCCATTTTCTCTCCACAGCTCAAGATCCTTGTTGGTACTTTTCCCACAATGCTCCTTTTTTGATACTATAGTTTGATCTCCACAATCTGTTGGATGCATTGAAGAATCTGCACATGACTGAATTAGATCGCTCAGGCTGCAAGAACACAGCTCCAATGAGATATAAACAAAATCTAAATCTTGTTCTACCCCATACAACCGGACAATATTTGGGTGCCGATCAGAAACAATCAGATTCTGAATCTCCTTAAGTGCCACATCATGATGTGCGCACAAAAGGCGTTTAACAGCAACACGACGACCATCATAAACTCCTTCAAGGACAACGGTTCCATTGCTTCCTCTACCGATTTCTGAATTTGATACAAAAAGCTTCCCGACCCAACGTCCGTCGAGAGGGCTCTCAGCAGTAACCTTCCTATTGAACAACTGTGACCAATATTTTTCGGCATGTGTATGGCCGTTAGTATCAGACTCTAAGGATGAAATAACATTGTTAGAGTTACTGACAATCACATTATTTTTCACACCTCCAGCTCTTCTAGCTTTCCTCTTCTTCGGAGATATAGACTGTTTCCCTTTCAAGTCATTCATTTGTACATCATGTCTGACCGCTCTTTTTAACTTAAGAAGCAATAATACAAGAATGATGAAAGACAATGTGACTGCAACCAACAAAAGTATTCCATAAGCAAGTCCAGCAAGCATCTCATTGGACGTTTTTGTCTGAGTATGGTCATATTTCATTATCTGGCTATTTGCGTCTTTATTTATGTTCAGTGGTATGCTTGAAGTATTGTCGTCTCGACATTTATCACCAGATTGGGATTGAAGGCTACCAGGTTCACAAAATACCTCCCCAATACTTCGTTTATCAGCAGAATATTCTAATAGGTTCTTTGCAGTATCAGATATGGCACTTGAGGAACCAGAAGATGAATGCCCGTCATCAAGCAGTTCTTGCATCTTGTCATTTCTAACAGGAGAGTGAAAATCCTCAGAAACACTCTTTGCAACAACAGGATTCATCGGCAGCATTAGCATTTCTCGAGTGCCATGTTGTGCATAAGCAGGATAAGATGCTGAAGGGAGCATAAGATCTTTATCAATGGCTCCTCTCATTTTACTAGCCATAGGCAGAATGTGCACGGGTACCTGTATCTGAGAAGAAGAGGACAATGCAAGTTTATCACCCATATTTGAACTAAAAGATTGCCCTTTCTTGATATACATAGCACGAATGTCAGAACGAGAAAGTTGCCATAAAGGCTTATCTGCACCTAGAGTGATTTGAGTAGGATTTGAAGGTAAAGCTATTGACTTCAGACTGTAATCTGTCCTCACAAGCATAATATAGCCATCAGCAGCCGCAATCTCTGATGCAACTAACTTCTCTTCAACCAAGGGCACTTCGCTTTTTGTCTGAGTAGCAGGAAAGTGATGCCTAGAGAGTACTTCGCCATTTGTTTCATTAAGAAAATGTAAAGTTGTTTCTTTTGATCCAAAAGTAACACTGGAACTATCTGTAACCACAGGTCCGTTGCATGGAATGATGGAAAGCAAAGATCAATAGATGATCTACAATAGCTGTAGAAATCAGATAAACAACTGATCACTGAGATGTGGAAGCATACCCTACGACCAAAAGCCTTGCTATATTCATATAGTTGTCCATTAGCGCCGAAATCTATAAAATACTCCACATCAGGATCAGCTTGTTTGGAGTATAAAATGGGGGAGCCAGTCACAAATTTCCAAAGAGGCACCATTGATTGACGATCCACAAAGTAGATTGTGCCATCAGACCGAGCAAGAAGAAGCCTATCGTACTTACTGACTCAAAAAAGGCAGGAAGGAAGCATTAGCAACTGAACTATTCGTATTAAACAACAAATGCACAAGCTCTGCCTAATTTTGTATGGCATGCAGAACTCAATTCTGCAACTAAAAAACATTGTTGATTGCATCTAGCAAAATTCCAGAATTTTGTGTTGAGAACAAGGAGATTTGTTATAGAACACAATAAATCAGCCATTGAGTAAATTCCTCAAAGATGAAAACTCAGTAGAAAAGCTATTATGCCAATGAAATATCTACTACAGCAGAACATAACGATACCAAATTAATATTATACATATTAAAATCCTAGCTATTTGTCGGGCTAAATTACAAATCCAAAAAGTACATTGCTCATGCTAAAGGAAAATATCTTTAGAAAATAGTTTAGTAGTTCAATTAACGAAATACATGGCATGGGAAAGGACTGCAAACTGAGCTGAAAAGTAAATACTTACAGGTGTCCTGAGCAATCTCATTATCGATAACATTACTAAACATGACATAGACATTGATTAACAAGGAGGTATGTACAAATTTTCATGGTAGAACACCGTGGCAAAAGCAATAATCATGAGATGGCTTACATAAAAGAAAGTTAACCCTGAACAGAAATATATTTTATTGTGTACTTCTTGACAGAATAAGTTGTCAAGTTGAGTCAAGGAACTAGGAGTTTGGGAGTATTTGAGTCTAATGGGACTCTATCAAGATTCGAAGCAAACATATATTCTCAGTTCTCACCAACAAAAAACAAAAACTCATACTGCAAGAATCATATAATGGACCCGACTTTACCCAGTTAAACCTACGAAGCAGTTACTTTATATGTAAAGATGAATTTGATCTATTCTGCTGATTCATCTCTTACAAAGGAACTCTAAACAGTAGACAGCAAATTCATCAATTTAGTACAAATGCTTTTTACATATTTCTGCTCAAGTGCCAATGTCTGCTTACAAGATAGTATAAATGCCAGTCACAGTGTGCAAATTAGTCTATATGGGCACAGTCAATAATACAAAAATTGTGAACTGGATATAGCATTCCATTTCCAACCAAGGCAACTGTACCGAAATCGTAAATGATTGCTGTTGCGGTTTTGGTATAATAAGAGGGCTGTGACAAAAGAAAAAGAACATGGGTCGAAACTAACAAACTCGCCGTCTCCTAAAACTAACTCAAACCAAGTAAAGATGCAGTCACATCCATTTCAAGAGCAAGTTGAAAATTTCACCTCAAATCCGGTATAAATTACTATAAACAAACAAGAAAACTCACTTGCCGTCGGAGTCCAATAATTTTCTAGACGAGGACCTTGCAGCGCTCAAATCCAGGGCAGTCGACGGCGACGGCGACGGCGACGAACTCTTCAAACCATCGCTATTTCCGATCAATTCGTCCGATATCGAGGGGGTAAGCGCGCCGGAGATCAAGAACCCGGCAAAGAGAAGAACGAAGAGATGGATGTACAGCGGCGGCGGTCTCATCATCGATGGCCGGAGGTTGCATTGACTGGATAATTTTAATTTGGGGATTTTGAGGGATCGGAGAAAACCTAGATCGAAGCAAAGGGTTCTTGGTCGTTGTAAATAAAGAATTTTAAGAATCTTTTGAGGAGCTCGACGGGTAGTTTTGTTAGCGAGTCAGAGACGGCTGCTGCTGGGAGTTGCTAACGTGCGCAGGGGGAAGGAGGTTTTGCGGGATTAGCATGAGATCTGAGTAGATTGAATCGGGGGAGGTCGGAGAAGGGGCGTTTTATTCAACGCAGCCGTAAAACGTCTGACCTCGATTTTAGTGGGGCCCAGATGTCAGTCAGAACATTGAGGTTAGGGAAAATGGGTGCGCGTTCGGAAATCATCCGCGCTAGGGGCATCTCCAACCCAACACCAAAATATTGCAAACTGTTGTAATCTCGTTGTTGTATCTACATACATCACATATCATAAGTAAGAATCGAACATAAAATGTAAAAGTAAATAAACAAGAAAAGAGATACGAAGAAAGTGATCATCTTATTTTATTCATCTTTTTTCTCTCCTCCATACATTTTGTCTTCCATGGATTACATTATATAGATGTGGAAGAGAATACTAAAAGTCACAAGTAGGTGAAGAGACTTCTTCTAGTAATGTCCGCATTCATTGTATTTATATTTACAACACTCCCCCTTGGACATTACTACATGATGTCAATGCCTCGTTAAAAACCTCGCTAGAAAAACCCAGTGGGATAAAAACTAGTCGAGGAAAAGAGTACACGACATTAGTAGATTCTTGTTGTATTAGTTGCCTCATTAAAAAACCTTTAGCTAAGAAAACCCTGTGGGACAAAACTTAGCAAAGGGAAAAAGAGTACAACTATAGATCTTCGGGATCCAAACTTGTGTTGCATTAGTTGCCTCATTAAAAACCTTTAGCTAAGAAAACTCTGTGGGACAAAACTTAGCAAAGGAAAAAAGAGTACAACTATATTCCTTCAAGGCGCAATCTTCGGGATTGCATTGAAAATTCGCTCCCCCTGATGATGACAATCTTCTGAGTAGAATGATATTCCCCCAGATGTCCTGTTATGGAGGGACGAATGCAGCTTGTGTTGCCACAAGATCTGAGGCAGTGGATTGTAAAGGAACCGGTTGACAAGCCGCGGGGACATTGCATGTGGCGGCCAAAGATCTGCTTTTAGTCCAGCGTGAGCTCCAAGAAGAATGCGAGGCGAGAAATCACCCCATCGAACAGAGGAAGTTGCTCAAGGTGATAATGCTTGCAGGATTTGTGGGTCGCGATAAAGTCTTCGTGGCCTTTAACATCAGACTTATGATGGAAATGGATGTTCACAATATGCGAGTACGGAGCTTGGCGAAGGACGGTAGTCTTCTTGCGAGGGGGGAGCTGAAAGAATTCTTTTAGAAGAATGCCAATTCGCTTGAAGGATTTGGGGCCCTGAAGGTCGCGTGATTGTCATCATATTTTGCCCATTTTCGCTAAGTTTTTGTGGTGCCCACTGGGGTTTTTCTTGAGGCATAGA